CCTCGCTACGCTTGGTGTACAGTCTCAGGGTGCTGGATTTGGGGTGAAACCCTCCATGCATTGTGAGGAGCTTTCTTGTCTTGATGTCAGTGGCCTCTATCTCCTCCTTTGGCCAGTTTATTATACCAGCGTGGTATCTGATGACTGGCAGGGCGTATGTGTTGATGGCTTGATCTTGTTCTTCCCATTCAGCTGACTTTTCAGGACCTGCCTTACTCTCTATAGGTATTTGGCTGTGGAGGACTTCCTTGCTGCCTCCTCATGGTTTCCGTTAGCCTGCGGCACCCCAAGGTTGTAGCTGTCCTGAACATCTGCAATGTGGCCTTCTGGTAGTTCAACCCCCTCGGTTCTGATCATTTTCCCTCTTTTTGATACCATGCGACCACACTTGTCCAGTCCGAACGACATTCCAATGTCATTGCTGTAGATCCTGGTAGTGTGGATCAGTGAGTTGATGTCTCGCTCATCTCTGGCATACAGCTTGATGTCATCCATGTAGAGGAGGTGACTGATGGTTGTTCCACTTCAGAACCGGTATCCGTAGCCAGTCTTTGTGATGATCTGTCTGAGGGGGTTCAGGCCTATGCAGAACAGCAGTGGGGATAGTGCATTGCCTTGTTATATGCCACACCTGATGTTCTCTTGTGCAATTGGCTTTGAGTTGGCTTCCAGACTTGTTTTCCACAGCCCCATTGAGTTCTTGATGAAGGCTTTTAGTGTCCTGTTGATCTTGTACATTTCCAAGCATTCCAGTATCCATGTAGCATTGAGTCATAGCCTTTTTTGTAGTCAATCCAGGCGGTCCACAGATTGGTCTGCCTGGTCTTGCAGTCTCGAGTGACTGCTCTATCAACCAGTAGCTGGTGCTTGTGCTTTGCTCCCCTGGTATTACTGCCCATTCCCTTCTGGGCCCTGTCCATGTATTGAGCCATGTGCCTACTCATCTTAGCCGCTATGATGCCTGACAGGAGCTTCCATGTTGTGCAGAGGCAGGTTATTGGCCGGTAGTTGGATTGGATTGTTCCCTTCTGGGGATCCTTCATGATCAGGACTGTCCGTCCTTGGGTTCATTTGTGCTACCAGGCGTTGATGGAGTGCAGTTAGTTTCTTCAGCCAGTAGGTGTGGATCATGTCAGGCCTGGTTCTGTCCAGCTCTTCATACCTGCCACTCTTTCTTGTTCTATTGTTGTGGAGATTGCTGTGATCTGTTCTTAGAACCATTAGCCACTGAGCATTGGTGTTCTCCCATATGTCTTCCACTACTGTTCAGTCTCAGCCACTGAGAGTACACTTTGGATTCTTCTAGCAGACTTCAGAGGGTACTTTGTCACTTAGCCTTGGCAATCTTGGTAGTTGTACTTGGGGGTCCAGCTTGGTTATGATCTTCAATCGTAGGTCAGTTGCCCTTATGTTGAGTGACTTGGGGGCTTGTTGTTATTGGGGCTTGGGACCCAGTCTCTGAGTGTGGGGATGATGATGATAACATCTCCACCCTGACCTGTCGTCCTGGCTTCCACTTGCCATAGCATATTTGTTGTACTTTTTCAATCTCTAGTTGTGATAGCAGTTGCCGTTTGTGGATGTTAGAACACTGAGCTAGGAGTTGTTTCTTTGTCAGTGTTGATGATGGGTTTCGAAGCATCCATATATCCCACAGTCTCTGCATATAACCCCTCTCATGTGCGTTACTATTCAACTCTGTGGGGTGATGAAAAGTGAAATCACATATTTATTTGTAACTTTATCCCAGGTTTCAAACTAGCAACTGTTTCAGTTTTTCAGTGAACCAATTTATAAATGCAACACTTTCATTTTTTCTAACACTTTGTCTACCTACACAAAAGGCCTATTTCTCTAAAATATTGTTCACAAATCTGTCAAAATCTGTGTTAGTGAGCACTTCTCCTTTGCCAAGATAATCCATCCACCTCAAGATGCTGATCAGACAGCTGGGAATTGCACAGGTGTGCCTCAGGCTGGCCACAATAAAAGGCCACTCGAAAATGTTTCAATGTATTGGGGTGGTCAGGGGGGTCAGTATCTGGTGTGACCACCATTTGCGTCACACAGTGCAACACATCTCCTTCACATAGAGTTGATCAGGTTGTTGATTGTGGCCTGTGGAATGTTGGTCCACTCCTCTTCAATGGCTGTGTGAAGTTGCAGTCAGTCAAGACCCTGATGAGCTTGCCTGAGACGGTTTCTGACGGTTTGTGCAGAAATTCTTGGCTATGCAAACCGATTGTTGCAGCAGCTGTCCAGGTGGCTGGTCTAAGATGATCTTTTTTTTTTATTATTGTTTTTTATTTTAATTATTTTTTTTTTTTTTTTTTTAAGATGATCTTAGAGGTGAAGATGCTGAATGTTTTGGTCCTGTGTTGGTGTGGTTTCATGTCGTCTGCGGTTGTGAGGCCGGTTGCATGTACTGCCAAATTCTCTGAAATGCCTTTGGAGACAGCTTATAGTAGAGAAATGAACATTCAATTTATGGGCAACAGCTCTTGTGGACGTTCCTGCAGTCAGCATGCCAATTGCACGCTCCTCAAAACTTGTGACATCTGTGGCATTGTGCTGTGTGATGCACATTTCAAGTGGCCTTTTATTGTGGCCAGCCTAAGGCACACCTATGCAATACCCATGCTGTCTGATCAGCATCTTGATATGCCACACCTGTGAGGTGGATGGATTATCTCGGCAAAGGAGAAGTGCTCACTAACACAGATGTTGACAGATTTGAGAGAAATAGGTCTTTCATGTTCATAGACAAAGTCTTAGATCTTTGAGTTCAGCTCATGATGAATGTGGGCAAAAACAAAAGTGTTGCATCTATAATTTATTCAGTGTATGTGTGTGTGTGTGTATATATGTATGTATGTATGTTATATATATATATATTATATATATATATGTATGTATACCTAGTTATTAAATAAAATGTAGTGGTAAAGACTGTCTTTCTGGATTTACCTTGTCACGTATTCCTTGTGTCCATATCTATGTTTTTCCGTCTGTGGCAGTAACAAAAATTAAGTTAATGACCATGTCAGAATGTGATGCTGGCATTTCCCTATTAACATCTTCAATCCCCCATTTGCATTTCATATCTGGACGAGCCATGGCTGGGGCCCTATGTGAAAGGCCAGGATGGATTAAGGTATTGTGATTGTATGCTACCTTATGGGTAGGCAGGCAAGCAGGCAGAAGACAAATCCCTGTCTGGAGCGGAGCAGGTCTCAAGCTCCTGGTAAGCTCCCATCAGTCCCACCTTCTGCCTCACGGCTATCCCCCTCTCATACCTAGGAGATCATGCGCAATACCATAATGGTGGACATAATTGCTTTCCTCTATCTACATTTTTCCTCTACTCCTCTCTGAGTTGGAAGTAAAAAATGAATGAGGTGACACATGAGGAGAGTGTGAGGGCTTTCTGTCAAAGAGCCCAATGATTTCTGTCTCATGTCCAGAAGCAATGTCAGATTGGCTGAAATCTGACAATATTTTGTTGGTATATCTGGCAGTGTTTTTCTCTCACCCATACATCTGGTAGCTTAGTACAAGTCAAATGTTTTTATATGATGCAACGCAGGAAGTAGCAGATGCTGCATGCTGACTGAATATGTTGTTCTCTCTCTGTTTAACAGGGCTCATAAGCCCTAAAATCATGTTTCAGTTCTGTAAGCTTGCGCCCTGAGACTGTAAATAGCCAGTATCAAAAAGTGAGCTAACGTGGAGCAGTAATCTCAACCAATGCATGATTTCCTTCTCTCCTTTACAGATACTACGGATAAAGTGATTGTCTTATTTTCTCTGTAACACTCGTGAGTCAGAAAATGTGTTTCTCATTGTTGCGGAACCATCCTCCATAACCGTGAAGGATAAGGATAGCCAAGGTCCCTTGTTAGTATGCAAAACAATGCATCATATTTTCGCACCATGTCTCATTTCCAATTGCAAATGGAGAAGGAATGAAAAATATGTGGGAGATTACTGCGTTAAACAATTTGGTTCTGCTTAATAGTGACTCCTTTGATTTGGTCCCAGGCCCCTGAGATGAGCATGGATGAGGAATGATTGAGATGCACGGAGAGCTTGTTCCTGGCTGCCTGCTCTGCTAAGCAGGCCCACTTCACCACAATAAGGGGTCATCCCTGGAGGAGTGTGGAAATGTCTAATTAAAACAAAATGCTTTATCAAGAGCTGAGGCAAAGTGAGCAGCCCATAAAATAAATAGCCAGCAATTTCCTGAGATTCACATTCTGATAAGCATCTTATTAATTAAAACAGCCCACTATCTAATGGAAGTTTTTCTCCCTCAGTTTCTTCCCAACCC